ACCACTCGTGGTCTCTGCAAGTCCATGCTGCAGATGTTTTACCACTTAAACTTTTATTTTATTTTATTTTATTTAGCCTTTATTTATACAGGTTAGTCTCATTGAGCCACGAGAACTATTTTCAAGAGAGGCCTGTTTAGGGAGCACATGGTGGGGTTAAGGGCCTTGCTCATGGGCCCAGAGTGGGGCGAATGAGGGTGGGGGCAAGTGTTGGTGTTTCACCTACCCCACCCACAATTTTGATGTTGTCGGGGCCGGGGTGTGAACCGGCGATCTTACTTGGTTTTTCACACCTAAATAAAAACTAACGGTTTAACACAGCATGCAATGCGTTGTTGAGACTTGAAACAACCAAGAAACTATGCACTTTTTCTCTGATTGAATAGAGCTGTAAGTTTGTAAACGGCTCAGCATCTCCACCATTTTTCATCTACAACTGTTATACATCGAGAGTAGAACATACGGCCCGCTATACGCCTGTTGACAAACTATTATACAGTAATCTATAGCAATGGCCTGGACAAGCAAAGACTTTTTATGAACTTTTACATTGATTTATGACCTTGACCTTGAAACTGGGGGGATGAAAAGTATGTGTGACACTCCTTCTAGTGATGATGCATAGGAGTATGAAGTTTTGTTAAATTATCTTGAGCGAATCCAAAGTTATCCTCCAAATCTGAGGCCATGGTCCTCAGTTGGAAAAGGGCGGATTGCTCTCAACAGTTATAATTTACATTAAGTACAAACAGGAGAACAAACAGAAACACACAACACCTGCTGAATAAAGACAACGCAGGGATGATTTCATGACTCCAACAGCTGTTCTTGCAGTTTCTCAAACTATTATGTTTCTTATTATTTTATAAAAAATACAACTCCTAATGTTATCTGTCAGGGATGAAGTACCTTAGCTGCCTTCAGGAGGATTTCTCTCTCCTGCTCCTCCTTCCTCTGCTTCTCTAGCTGGTCCAGCTGCTCAAAGAACTTCAGCTGAGCCCGAACGTCACTGATCTGCTCATAGTTGTCATCCTCCTGCCAGCAAACAGTTTTATGACAATGTCATCCCAGGAAACAAAGCATTGTGGGAAATTAGCCGACACAATTAAAGATAATAACAAATATAGAAACTCAAAGTTCTGTACAATGTACCCATCCTGTAACCAAGCCCTGCATGGAAAACTTTTACTATAATTTACTTTGGAAAAGAAACAGCTACTGATAATTCTGATAACATTTCTGTCCATAATGGTTCTTTTTCACATACCTTGAAGTTGACATTTTTCTGCTGAGCTACTTGGGACACTTTTTCTAGCAGGTTCTGGAGTCTCTGCTGAGTGACATAGGAGACATAATTCACGACCTCCATGCCCAGATCCGTTACTCCGTGCTTCCTACCTGAAAGAGGAATACAGCAACGGATTAATGCAGCAAGAGACGGACAAATGACTAGCTACTGTGTGGCCATTAGTTAATCATTTATGAGTGTCTTACCTAACTCCAGCATTCTCCTCTGCAGCACGGCACAGGAGAGAAAAGCCTCGTCCTTACAGGAATGTGTCACTGAGCCAACAAGTCCAGAGTTGGTGGCGAGGATATTAGCACTTTCCTCTGAAAGGTTTACTCCAGCCATGGAGGCCACGTCGTTGATGTCATCATCATCTCTGTTAACGTAGATGCAGAAGAGACAAACACTTCCATTCGTTTGATGTTTATTTGTGGCATGAAGGACTAAAACCTGGAGGCTGTTTGTGTTTGTGTGCTTACTTGAACATGCCACCCGCCTCTTTCAGCTTCATCTTTTGAGCTTGGGTCAAAGCTGCACCAAAGAGTTGTTTGGAAACAACTGGCGCCTCCGGCCTCAAGGGAACTAACGGAGGACAAAGATATAATTTAAGCTACATCAATTCACACAAACAGGCACAGACGTGGTGTTGGTGGACTGCCATCTCACCTGGCTGCAGCTCTTTCAGCTGTACCTGTTGCTGTCCCACCATGATGCGACCGGGAGCCTGAGTTCTCAGAGCGTTCATGGAGGCTGTTGGTAGAGTTAGCTGAGGTCGCAAAATTGCTCTTTGCTGCTGAGGCTGGAGAACCTGAGAGGAAAGGTTTAATAAGTTATCATGTGATGATTATTGCGATGATAAACCCACATTTTCCTCACACCTCACTTCTTCACCATCACCTAAACCAGGTGTGGACATCAAGGCCAGAGTCCGTAGGATAGTCCAAACGTATTAATAGCAGCAGAACTTGAATGTATGGAGCATAAAATAAAAATATTTCATGATTTATAGAAGTCCTTAGCGATACCGACATTGTGCTCATTTATATTACGATAATGACAAATGTCTCATTACACTGTGCACACCCACAAAACGCCAGAGATAAAATAAGTAAAACAGCAGCTAAATTTAAAAAATAGAAGCTAAAAGTAGCAACATTGTAGCTAAAGTCTAAAAGTAGCACGGGAAGACAAAAATAAAGCAAATAAGTTGAAGCCAGTTTCTAGAAAAACAACATTTATATGAGAAGTTTTCAATTTTTAATAAAGTTACTTTATTTGTAGGAACTTCAGCCTGGGTGGTATCAGTTGTAAGAAAAGTTACAAAGACCAAAAGTTATAGTGCGTTATTCCTAATCAAGCTGAATGGTTAAAATAGCACAAAGTATGTTGAGGTAGTTAGTTTGCAAAAAATGTACAGATGACTCTATTTGGAGGTTCCACTAATGTTCAGCTGGATACAGAACCACACAGGACTCTAAGCAAGTCCAGAGGGTCAATAACTGCATAAATAATGATACATTGCTCCAAAATATTGTTTTATGAGATCCTTGCAGGATAAGTAAGCATTTCTCTGTTGTTTTCTCAGTTTGAAGCATTATTAGTGTGACATGTTTAGGGTCCAACACAGCTGGGCACATCTGTAAACACAGCTGAAAAGTTGCAGAGTGAAGTTTGAGCAGATATTGGTTACCAGTGACGTCGTCTGTACTGGGTTGCTGATGGCTGGCTGGAGCTGGGGCCTACAGATGGGAGCAGTGAGGCGAGGGGCCGGGCTGCCCAGAACCATTGTGGTGGAGGGAGATGAAGCAGAGGAGACTGGACCTGGACTTGGACCTGAGGCTGGCTGAGGAAGCTGACTCTGCTGAATGAAAGCTGCTGCGTCTGGTGTGAGCTGCCTCAGAGCAGGGAGGCTTCTCTGCAACAAGACAGGTAGAAAACCTTAGATTTTACTTTTCTACAATGAAAAATAAATACGCTCCTAAAAATGTACAAAACACAGACGTTTTTTAACCTTTAGAAAAGGCACGAGATATGGTTGGGGTGAAGATTTGAGTTCTTTGTACAATCTGCTGGTGAATTCTTCAGCTTCCAGCTTGGCCTCCTTTTAAAACACAAACAGCTGAGAGTTTCACATTTACACATTCGTTTTTAGTGTTTCGGGGAGACGTTTAAAACTCAACATGTTACCATTAGCAGAAATGGCCCCGTCTGCTCGGACACTCACCAGCAGGTCTTTGACCAGCTCTCTCACGATGGCTGCAGTCTCTGTGGACTGCTTCCCACTGGACGCCAGCTTCATCAGTGTAGACAAGAAGTTTTTACATTTCATCACAAGCTCCAACGTCTCCTATCACAAAGACCAAAAACACAGAATTCAAACTTTAGTTTCATTTGTGACTTTCGCACATCACATCTGGTTCATCGGGTGAACCGAACACAATACTCTGAACATTGTAAACACGCACACAGCAGACGACAGAAACCCAGTTTGATCTAATCCATCTTACTTTGCTCACTGTTACTGAAGTAACTGTGGTCCCAGTTGTCTGGCTGAGGGTCCGAGGGGTGATTCCTGGTGTCGTGGCCCCAACTGAGCCCTAGTGAACAATAAAAAAAGGTGACAACATTAAAACACATCTGAATAAAAAATAATTAAATAAAATACTGTAATAAAAACAATAATGGACTAGCATCATATCACTCACTACTTTCGTGCCAATGTTTTGAACTGTAGTTCATAAAGGATAGAGTTTTGGACAAACCATAAAATAACATTATGGCTCACGATGCTGTGCTCAAAGTATGTGTTAAGTAAGTCTCTCAGCTACTACCACATAAGTCTTTATCTGTAAAACTGACTTGATATTTCCATTTTTGTCTTGGCTAATGTTGATTAGCTGCGGTGGCTAATCAGCATCAAACTGGGTTGACTCCAAAAGGTAATCAGTTGTAGATGAGCATCAAATGATTTAATTTAGTTTGCAAGTTTCATTAAAATACTACCAGTATAAGTAGGCCTGTCATGACAACAAATTTTGTTATGCGATCTCGGAAATTATTACAATAAACAACAATATTGTTTGAAATTTGGCAATAATTAATTATTGTCAAATTTAAGAAGAAATGTTGGTTAATTTTTGTGTGTAGTACAATTTTTGGCCGCTGGATGGCAGTATAAGACTGTTTGAACCGAAGGATGGATACTAAGGGAGTGAGTAGCGTGTTTAGCGTAGCATTTTTCACACAAAGCTTTTAATAATTTTTTTAAAAATCTGTTAACATGTTTTCAGCTTCTTTTTGCAAAGTAAAACAACTTTTTACTCGAAGGCATGGGTTTCAACAGTGAATTTTGGAGCTTCGACAAGACGGAGGTTTTTTCCCCCCAAGGTCGGCCTGTTAGCTTAGCTCGTAGCTTAGCTTCTTAGCTGAGCTGCTTTTAACAATCCAAAAATGTGATTTTGGACGGTTAAAACGGATTTTAACGAAAAGAGAAAGGGAGGAGTCAGAGCACTGGAGTTGAACCTTTTGTCATCCAGTGTCTTCAGTAGAAAGAGAGAGACGCGAAGAAACAATAAAGCTGATAAATGAAAATGAGGTTGATAATTTTCATTTATCATGTTTTTAATTTATTTATTGTTTATCGTGACAGGCCTAGTTATAAGACGTCTGCTCTTTTCATAATCAGGTATTTTATGACAGATAAATACGTTTGTGTGTTCCTACAACCACATAAATGTATGTTTAACCCGCTGAACATTAACAACAACCTGATGGAGATTTGTTATGATGGCACTGAAGTAATGAGCAAATTTTAAAGAATGAAGAAAATGTGTTTCTGTCCTAACCTAAATTAACCTTTTTACTACAAAAGAAACAACTTTAAGTTGTTCTCTCTACCCAGTGACTCATGTCCAGTTAATCATGATGTTTTCAAAGACAATAAAACCTACAACACAGACTTGACACTGCACTTCTGCAGTGATCGGCAGGAGAAAATATTTATGTTCACTTTCTCTGAGGAGCTAAACGTCATGGATCCTAGAATCCATCTGGCACCTAATACATGACTTAGTGCAGCACTCTGCACACATGAACTTTACACTGTAGAAGAACCTGCTGTTTGTAAGTTAGAGTTGATTATTATCCCCTGCTAATAATCTTGTTACCTGTGTCTGTGTGTCTCTGCTGTGATGCGACTCTCAGAAAGACATCATAGGCTCTTGAAGTGGTAGTAGCTGACGATCATTCTCAATATGTAATCTGAGTGCTAACAGATTACACAAGATGTAGCGAGATTGCATGAGATGATGCATGATGTTATTTTTAGTGTTAGAAAAATTATTTGTGTCGGGTAAGAGGCAAGCAGCACGGTGGCGCAACTGGTAGAGCTGCTGCCTCTCAGCGAGCAGGTCCCTGGTTCAAACCCCGGTCCAGGGGCCTTTCTGGGTGGAGTTTGCATGTTCTCTCCGTGCATGCGTGGGTTTTCTCCGGGTACTCCGGTTTCCTCCCACAGACTAAAAACATGCATGTTAGGCTGATTGGTAACTCTAAATTGTCCCTAGGTGTGAGTGAGAGAGTGAATGGTTGTTTGTCTCGTTTGTCTCTATGTGGCCCTGTGATGGACTTGCGACCCGTCCAGGGTGTACCCCGCCCCTTGCACAGTGATTGCTGGACATGGGCACCAGCGACCCCCGTGACCCAAAATGGAATAAGCGGGTAAAGATAATGGATGGATGGATGGGTAAGAGGCAGAATAAATGAGAGAACTGATCTGTAAACAAAAATATTTCAAGAACCTTAGAGGATAAATGCATAATTAATTATTTACATTGACACGTTGTCAGTTTTATGGTGAATCAGAATATCTCAAAGTTAAGCGTGAACTGTGATTAAATATTTAGAACTGAACCGAGTGGTTGAGCTCCTGTAAACCATCAACACGAGTACGCCAGCTATACGCTGGGGCCAAAGTTCAAAATGAAACCATGTGCTCATGAGTGAGAGTCTGTGGTCAACGCACCGGCAGGAGAGGAGGTCTGTGAAGGGTGGTGGTCGCAGAGAGCGGCGCTGCAGCTGGACAGCTTTGTCGGATGATGGTGCTTGGAGACACATGTCGGCTGATGATTGTGTTTCCAGGAGCCTAAAAACCAATAAAAACACAGACTTTAATCCAAACGAAAAAAAAAAAACAGTAAATGAAGAATTAAAAACAGTTCCTTAGCAGGTAAATGTATAAAACATAAAGGCCTAGTGTTCCTTGAACATCGCCCGCCACCTTCCATTCCAGAGTTTTACACTAAGATCATTTTATGATGAGAAAATCTGAACATAGCATTATGCACAATTACATGCTATGTTGCAAGATGTCATGCTTAGAATATGTTGTAAATGACTCAGCTATGGCCACATCACATTTTCAAGGATTCAATGATTTTTTTTTGTCATACCAGCTCACATTTGCATGTTTGTGGTACGAAATTCGGACACAGGTCCCAGATCAAAAAGCCTAACAATTAACAAATAAATAAATACTAAAGAGTATAAATATATATATAATAAATAAAGTTAAAAATGTGAGATGAAGCTGAATTAATTGCAGCTCGAGTTCAGCAGTCTGACAGCTGCAGGGAAGAAACTATTTCTGAGCCTGGTGGTCTCGCTCTGAATGCTCCTCAGCCGCCTGCTTGAGGGGAGGGGCTGGAACAGACTGTGTGCAGGATGAGTGGAGTCCTTCATGATGCGGAGCACCCTCCCCCTGGTGGGAAGGCTGCTCCCCACAGTCTTCTGTGCAGTCTTAACCACCCTCTGCAGAGCCATCCTCTCAGCAGCAGTGCAGCTGCCGTGCCACACGATGATGCAGCTGCAGAGAACGCTCTCCACCACACAGTGATAGAAGCTCCTCAGGACAGAGCTTCCAAGTCCAGCTCTGCAGCTTCCTGAGGAAGTAGAGGCACCAGTGTTTCCCCTACCATTATACAAGCGGGATGCCCCACCCCATCAACAAAAATGAGCACCCCCCCTATGAAACCAAACTTGCCCCCCCACCCCACCACCACCACCACCCCGCACTGACATAGCACTAAGCTAGCAGTGTGAAATACATGCTCTCTAGCTAAAAAGCTAAAGGCAGCGCTCATGTTGCCACTTCTCTCAAGCTGAACACCCAGTCCACCCAGTCTCGGCCGGCCCCTCAGTTCCCCCGGGCTGTAGGACCGCCCAAATGCCGGGCAGAACTCCTCCCAGAGCGATGGCCACTCCTCCCAGCAGTCTGCCGAGCTCCTCGTCGCTGTGGACAGCCAACTGCAGGTGCCGAGGGATGATTCTGTCCTTCTGCAGTCATGTGCCATGTCTCCCGCCAGTTCCAGGATCCAAGTGGTCAGGCACTCGAGCACAGCCGGTAGGTAGATGAGAATGCATCCACAGAACATCCTTTTCAACTCATTCGAGATTTGGGGTTGTAGTTGAGATATTATTTGAGCTTTTGAGATGTTAATCAGCTGCTGTTGGTTGTAGAAATCTGCCTTGTTACCATAGTTACGCATCATAACAAATGTCCAAAACTAAAAAAGTTTCAGTAAAAATCCTTCCAGCTGCACAGCATCTGACACCAGAGGAAACAATCATCCAAAAAATGTGATTTACATCCAGAAAAAGAGGAATTAAAGTTTCCAAAAGCAAAATCTCAGAATGAAAGTAACAGAGCTGCTCCAACATGCAGCCACCTTGAGCGGCACAATTCTAGAACACATATACACCCCCAGGTACCTGTAGCAGCAGACCACCTCCACAGCTGCTCCTCCAAAGTGTAGGGGATGAAGAGGATCCTTTTCCCTTCTGAAATCCACCACCATCTCTTTGGTCTTCTTTACATTGATGCAGAGATTATCGTCTCTGCACCACTGCACCAGGTGTTCCACTTCCTCTCTGTGTTTGGACTCATCATTGTTTGTGATGCATCAGACCTATTTTAACTGAATAGCTGTGAAACTGACTGATTTACAGCTGTTTATGTAGTTAACGTTGCTGTGGTGGCTGCTTTGAGTTGAGTAAATGGACTGTACTTATTTTTATTTATTTTATTAACCTTTATTTATACAGGTGGTCTCATTGAGTCATGAGGACTCATTTTCAAGAGAGACCTGTTTGGGAGCAGATGATGGAGGTTAAGGGGCTTGCTCAAGGGCCCAGAGTGGGGCAAATGAGGGTGGAGGCAGGTGTGGGTGTTTCACATTTTCCACCCAGTCGAACTGTCGACCTTCCTATCACAGGCCCACCTTCTCTGACCTCTGTGCCACCACTCCTTATATAGCACCTTGTCATCTAATCAAGACTCAAAGCTCTTTACAACACAATCTGTGTCCTCATTGACCTCCACACACACCTCCACCATCATCCCAATCCCAAAAAGCTCTACAGTGACTGGTCTGAATGACTATCGGCCAGTGGTCCTCACCCCAAAATTTGCTAAATGCTTCGAAAAACTGGTCATGACTCACATCTAAACAGCCATCAACATCAACGAGGACCCTCATCAGTATGCATACTGTGAGAACGGATCAACAGAGGATGCCATCTCCTCTGTGGTCCACACTGCGCTCAACCACCTGGAGCAGAAAAACTCTTACGTCCGTATGCTCTTTGTGGACTTCACATCCGCCTTCAACACCATGATCCCCCAAACACCATGATCCCCCAAACCCTGATGGACAAACAACAAAGTCCATGCTCAGGTATACAATCCAACATTTTTCAGTCAGGTCATCTGGACAGTTTCTTTTTTTTTTTTGTGCTGAAACGTTTCACCTTCTGTCCGGAAGGCTTCATCAGTCAAGGAAACACACAACAAAACTGATTCTTCCCTCTTGTTGACAGTCTTGTCAAGTTTGACAAGACTGTCAACAAGGAAGAGGGCCGGCAATGGAGGAGGGGGCATACCAAAGAGACCATCTTATCACAAGCAGAACTGGTTTGTTCCCACTTTGGAGTAAGCTGTTGGGGGAACAATCAGTTTTGTTGTGTGTTTCCTTGACTGATGAAGCCTTCCGGACAGAAGGTGAAACGTTTCAGCACAAAAAAAAAAACTGTCCAGATGACCTGACTGAAAAATGTTGGCCTGATGGTCACACTATTCACACTAGGACTAAGCTCCTCCATTTGCAACTGGGTACTAGACTTCTTAACAAACAGACCACAGTCAGTGAGGATCCACAACTTCTCCTCCTCCACCATAACCCTCAGCACTGGCTCTCCTCAGGGAAGTGTGTTGAGCCCCCTCTTCTTTACTCTGCTCACGAATGATTGTGCAGCTACCCATCCAGGCTGTCATTGTAAAGTTTGCAGATGATACAGCGGTGATGGGATGCATCACAAACAATGACGAGTCCAGCTACAGGCAGGAGGTGGAACACCTGGAGAGCTGGTGCAAAGAGAATAACTTTCACATCAATGTGAAGAAGACAAAGGAGATGATTGTGGACTTCAGAAGGAACAAACACACCTACACCGCCCTGAACATAAAAGGATCTGCAGTGGAAGTGGTCTCCAGCTACAAGTACTTGGGTGTACACCTGAACAACAACCTCATCTGGGGCAACAACACCACCAGCCTGATCAAGAAAGCTCATCAGAGACTCTAATTCATCAGGCGGCTGAGGCGAGCTGGTCTGGGAAGCTCAGTCCTCACCTCACCTCCTTCTACAGGTGTGCAGTGGAGAGCATCCTGTGCTCCAGCATCAACGTGTGGCATGGAGGCTGCACAGCTGCAGAAATAAAAACTTTGCAGAGAGTGGTGAAGGCTGCACAGAAGTCTGTTGGAGTCAGCCTCCCCACCATCACAGACATCTACACCTCTAGATGCAGGAACAGGGCCACCTGCATCATGAAGGACCCCACTCACCCAGCACACACACTTTTTGCCCCGCTCCCATCAGGAAGGAGGTTGAGGAGCATTAAGTGTAGAACCATTAGACTGAGGAACAGCTTCTACCCTGAGGCTGTTAGACTCATGAATCTCTAACCAGAATAATTACTGTGAAAAATCACATCATGTTGCTGCTGATCTGTTTCATGTTGATGCGTTCATGCATGCTCATCTGCTCACACAGACTCATGTTTGTTCTGCTGTTTGACGTAATGCCATCCATCCATTTTCTTTACCCGCTTATTCCATTTTGGGTCATGGGGGTCGCCGGTGCCCATGTCCAGCAATCACTGTGCGAGGGGCGGGGTACACCCTGGATGGGTTGCAAGTCCATCACAGGGACACATAGAGACAAACGAGACAAACAACCATTCACTCTCTCACTCACACCTAGGGACAATTTAGAGTTACCAATCAGCCTAACATGCATGTTTTTGGTCTGTGGGAGGAAACCGGAGTACCTGGAGAAAACCCACGCATGCACGGAGAGAACATGCAAACTCCACCCAGAAAGGCCCCTGGACCGGGGTTTGAACCAAGGACCTGCTCGCTGAGAGGCAGCAGCTCTACCAGTTGCGCCACCGTGCTGCCCGTTTGACGTAATGTTTTTATGCTATTAGTGCTTAGTATATTCCCACATGTGGCGCGAACGACAATAAAGCATGACTCTGATACAGCACTCTGCTACATCTCTACAAAGATAATTGAATAAATCAATCTAAAGAGACTAATTACTGCTTTATATCACATTCATACCTCAATGGGACACACATCAGAGGCAATGAGGGGTTCAGTGTCTTGCCCAGGGACACTTCAACATGTGACTGCTGGTGGAATCGAACCCCCAACTCTCCCAGTGGAGGACGACTGCTCTAATCACCCAGCCACAGCTGCATCTAGCTGGCAGCTGTGGCTCACAGCTGGAGTCAGCTCCAAACTGTATTCAGTTGTACGTGTAATTTCTATAAATTTTGTTACAATCCAACCAATGATTGATAAGATATTTTGGTAACAAACAGATACAAGCGCAAACGCAAAAACATTATCATCCACTTTTGGCTTTCAGCAGCAGGAAATAATGACACAACTACACTCCTGCCTCTTGGGTTGCAGATGTAACAGTTCAGTCCACAGGTGTGCTTCCCTGAAGAGCAGGTAGGGTAGAAATACTGACCAATATGTCTTTGACTTCCTGGCCAAAGTTGGAGAGCGTACCTGTCCTGTGGACACGTTCATTGGTGTAGCGGTCCGAGGCGCCATGCCTCCCTGTGCCTGCGCTTGCAATTGGGCGAGAGCCTGGTGAGGAATCATCAACAGCTGTCCACTGTTGCTGTGCATGAGCACCATCCCTGAAGCCAGTCAGAATGTAAGAAAAAAACAGTTTCACTACCATCATACTGTGACATAATCTGTAAATATTTAGAGTACCTTAAAGGTACTTGTTTCAAACAATAAAATCTGACAGGAAAACTGTTGTCCTGAGTTATACCAAATGATTCAGTTTGAAATAATGTCTTCCAGTTTGACCTGTATTAAGGTGATTATAGTCAGTGTAGGAAAACAATATGGTGGAACAAGACAAGCATAGAATTGAGAAGGCATTTAGGTGGAAATGGGAGTGAATCTGCTCCTAAACATGAAGGAATATTTAAAAAAACTACTGTTTTCGAAGCTTTTTTATTGTTTTCTATTGTATGGGTGTACATATGGTTATGTTATGGTTTTAATTTTACTTTATTTGTGGGTGTACACAGGCTTATGTCTTGTGTAATGTTCTCATTTTTACTTAATTTTTACTTTATTTTTACTTTATTTTACTTTACTACTATTCGCACCTTATGTCGAAGCAAATTCCTAGTTTGTGAACCTCGTTCATTGACATGGCGATAATAAACTGATTCTGATTCTGGTCAAGTCCTACTGTATGTGCATACTTTACTAAAAATTAATTTCAGCAAAAATATGTAGTACTCCAGAACGGTCTGGCTCTTCTGTGGACATTGCCATTGTCCTGTTTTCATCATGAGAACTGCAAATAGTTGTGAAGATAGTTGGCATCTTGTAACTAAATGTTCAAATGTCATGTTTTTCATGACATTTGATCTTTAATAAACTGCATCAAAACTAATGAGATGACATCAGAACCACTGATTGATGCTTATTATTGCCAAGTTCATGTGAGTTGAAACATTGTTTCGTTCTGATTATTGTTGCAACAAACAGTCAAAGCCCCTTCTGCCTGCACTTACCCGAGTGGAGCTGAAAGTTGTGCACGCTGGGCTGTCCCGGGTTCGGCTGGGGGAGTCTCGGGGTCAGCATCTGGGGTATGGCCCCCCCAGTAGCTGCCATCACCGGGGGTCGTGGGGCACTGATGGTGCCGGTGGGCTGCGGAGCTGACTGTATGATGGTGGTGGGGGGCTCTGCCGTGACAATGTGCGAGCCTGCGATGACAGACGCAGAGCAGCCCGGCTGGCCGGTGTGCACGGGCGGAGCTTGAGCCGTCTGATTTGTTGCCGCGGCGGGGCTCCCGTTCAAAGTTGCACCCGACCCCGCTGTTTGCATGGGCTGCCTGACGAGCGTCACGGTGGGTCCTGATGCTGCCTGGCTCCCGGGCTGACCGGCTGCGGCACTCTCCGAGTTCACGAGCGGCGTCTGGATGACGCTGCTGGGCTGCACTTTGGACAGCACCGAGCCGCCGCCGCTGGGACCGATGGTCGACGCCACGCCGGGGCCAGCGTCTCCTGCGCCGTGACAGCTCATAGTTTGGCTCCCATTAAAAGTCTGCACTGAGTATGAGCCCACTTTTCCCTGGTGATTGGGGAGAAAAGTTAAACCGTCACTGACAAGTGCTTTGGTCGGGTCGAAGCCCGCTTTGGAGTCGGTGCTGGCTTTCGATGCGTCCATAGCGGAACCATGGGGAGCTGGAGAGGTCAGCCGAGACCCGCTGCGCCTCAACTGGTATTTTCACTGGGAACGCACTCGTGTGATGGGGCAAGACTAAAAGTGGCGTCTTCTGATTCCCCCTGTCAACTCCGGCGTTTGCTTTTTGTATGTACTCGGAGCGATAAAACGGAAAACAACATGAGTTAGTTACAGCGTACCTGCTTCTTTAGCATTCGTCTTGACCAACAAGTCCCAACTGGACATTAGCTCGAGCTACCCCCTGCTTGTCCCGGAACTATTACCATGTAACTAATCTCTGTCTCGTGCCTACTCCAATGGTTGTTGTGACACAAGAACGATGGCTGTGACTCTACAGACCGTGCAGGATGACAAACTACCGCTTTATTCACCCCTGTCTGTGAAAAGAGTTCACCGAGCGGACCAGGTCCAACCGCCATCTTCGCACTCCTGCGAGCTTATGAAAAGTGAGCCGTTTGCTCACAGACGTGCGCATGCGCAGAGCAGCGAAACGTCCCGGAGTGGGCGATTCTTCGAGCTGTGATTGGCTGCTCCACAGGCTAAAAGGCGGTACCAATGGCTTCAGCTGTCATTCCTGGGGAAGAGTAGGGAAGCACAACATTGAACCGAGGCGAAGTGTTCTCGTCAAATTATTCACCGGAGCCACGACGTTTGTTCATGAACTATAGCTGTTTTGTTTCAGAATTGAACTTTGTAACTGTTGGTATAGTAAAAATGCGGTTTTCGGCACGGTTACAGTGTAAAATTAAGGGTTGTTTCACACTAAGTTTACTCAGCAAGATGGCTGCAGCGAAGTGAGATTCTACTGACGCCCCACCCTTACAAGGGAAATAAACTCTTCTGTCACTCATGTGAGATATAGAATAACATGGAACTTTATTGATCCCGCAGAAAACTGTTGTGTGTGTGTGTGTATATATATATATATATATATATATATATATATATATATATATAATATATAGTAACTAAAAGCACCTTTGTCATTTAATTAACCATGCAATGTAAACAACAAAGTCCATGCTCAATAATCCAGGTAAATACATATTTATTCAAACTGCGAAACGTTTCAGCATTAAAAAAAGAAACTGTCCAGATGACCTGACTGAAAAATGTTGGCATGCAATGTAAAGTTTTACTGTGAGAACAAAGTACTTCTTCAAGAACAAAATAAATAATCTAAAAATTGTTTTTAAACACATGTACAAAATAATAATATTAGCCAACTTTGAGATGGCTGTAATATTGTCAGCAATAAATGTTTTGTGTTGTCAACTGAAGACTCCCGTGTATCTGCCGGTGTACGCTGACAGGTAAATCAAGCCCACCCTGGTGTAATCACCGCTGATGCAGTCAGCTGTAGAGAGGTGCGCATGCAGCGCAGCCTATAAATCTCACACGTGCACTAATTACACCCCTTTGAGTTAATGTCGGGCTGCTGCCGTTTACTGCTTTGTAGCTGGCTTGTTGCGTGAAACATTATCGTTTGATTCCAACATGAGCGCACGAGGAGGCACCCCTTATATCGGCAGTAAAATAAGTCTGATCTCCATGGCTCAGATCCGGTATGAAGGAATACTGTCCTCTGTGGACACGGAGAGGTCCACTGTCGCTTTAGCTAAAGGTAAGCCAGCACTGTGCATCGTGTTTTTACCCTCATCCTTCTTTTCTTCATGTAGGTGATAATTTAAATGAGTTTATCTCCGTTAATTAATTGCTTAACACTTTTTCATGCTTTGCTGGCTGCCCCTCCCTCCAGTGAAATCCTATGGTACAGAAGACCGGCACACAGACAGACCAGTGCCACCCAAGGATGAAATCTATGAATATATAATCTTCAGAGGAAGTGACATCAAAGATATTACTGTCTCTGAACCTCCCAAACCCCACCACGGACTGCCTCGTGACCCTGCAATAGTTCAGGTCTGAACTTTAGGTCTTTATATTCCAAATGCATCTTCTGTCCTGCTGATGTGAGCTTTTTATTTTATTATATTTTATTTTATTTTTTATTAAGTCATCCATGGGCCCCTCTGTGCCCTACCACCCACGCTGGACTCCCTACAGAGACGTGATGCCCACATTTAACCAGCTTGCCGCCAGCTCTCTACTCAGCCAGCAGTACAACGCAGCGCTGGGCCTAAGTACAGATGTCCCAGATCATTTAGCTCCATCATAAATGTCGTCATAGTCTGACATCTAGCTGGACACGTTTGTGGTTTTGTCTTTCCAACCTCTAGTACCAGGACCTCATGGTCCAGCCAGAAGGGCCCCCATGGTGGAGCAGGCTGTTCAGACGGTGCCTTTGGTCACGGCTGCACAGAAGAAGGGGAAGCCTTCGCCCCAGCCGCAGAGCAGGCAGCCCGCTCGCCCGTCACAGCGCTCGGCTCCAGATGCTTCTCCGGCTGAGAAGAACGTACCCACTAGTAAACGGACTGATTGCTGAAATAAAGTTCAATTTAATCATTGACACCAACTCTCTGTAGAACGTGTAAAATTGGTTCACTTGATTTCAGCACACTTGAGTTTATTTATGTTTAGTCAAACTGTTGGTTTATTTTTGCATGTGCTTAGGTCATGCACCGTCTCAGCCAGCTGTTACGAAGACTCCAGGCCGAGGTGCTGACAACCAGAAAACGAAACAAAAACAAGGTTTGAAATCTTTAATTTTGATCTTGCTTACTGGATAACTTGTTTACAGTGAATCTGAAAAATGTGAATATCATAAAGTTTATTATTTTTTGTCACAAAGTAAAACTTGTATTCATTACACAGAGAAATACTTAAAGCCTTTATTGTAATTTTGATTATGGCTTACAGTTGATGAAAAACCAAAATTCATTCTTTAAAAAATGTTAATATTGTATTGAGTTTACAGTATTGTAAACTCCTGGTGTCACTCTAATCAGCTGATTAACTCCTAGACATGAGCTAGAAATGTCTCATTCCTCAAGTCCAGCCACTCCTGAACCAGAGACATCAGAAGTGTCTTACCTGCTGAGGACAAAAAGAACTGGACTGTTGCTCAGTGGTCCTCTTTTCAGATGAAGGTAAAGTTTGCATGTTTGGACATCAAGGCCCCGGAGTCTGGAGGAAGAGTGGAGAGGAACATAATCCACGTTGCTTCAGGTTCAGAAGTTTCCACAGTCAGTGATTGTTTGGATTCATGTCCTCTTCTGGTGGTGGTCCACTGTTTTCTGAAGTAAACACATCTACCAGGACATTGTAAAGACTTCATGCTTCCTTCTGCTGACGAGCTTTATGGAGATGCTGGTTTCATTTTCCAGCAGGACTCGACTCCTGCCCACACTGACAAGTTACCAAACACTGGCTGTGGAATATTCTAAATTTGAGACACTGAATGTTGGTTTTTTTTTCCATTAACGTTTAAGCCATAATCATCGAAATTACAAGAAGTAAAGGCTTGAAATATTCCACTGCACATTAATCTATCGAATGAGTTTCATTTTCTAAAATGACTTGACAGTTGAGTTTTTTGGTACTTTTTCATGTTGCATTTTATTTATTTATTTTGATGCACCTACATCATGTACATCATATTCAGAATACAGGAGTAACACAAATAAAATAGGATCTTTTGGCTTTTCCCTCTTTAGGGGTCACCACAGTGAGTCATCCTCTTCCATCTCACTCTGTCCTCACTCCATACTACATGTTCTCTCAAACTGCATCCATATCTCTCCTCTTTGACCTTCATCTGTCTTTTTCCTGGCTGCTGCATTTCTAACATCCTTCTACCAGTATACCCGCTGTCCCTCCTCTGGACATGTCCAAATCATCTCAGTCTGGCCTCCCTAACTTTATCTCCCAGTTGTTCAACCTGTGCTGTACCTCTGATCTCATTCCTAATCTTATCCATCCTTGTCACTCCTAAGGAGAACTTCCAACATAATTTCTGTCACTTCCAGTTAATTTTCCTGTCTTTTTGTCCATGTCTCTGTCTCCAGACCATACAACATAGCTGGTCTCATCACTGTCTTGTAAACCTTTCCTTTGACCTTTGCCGACACCATTTTATTGCAAATCATTCCTGAAACTTTTTTCCATCCACTCTATCCTGCCTGGACTCATTTTCACCTCTTTACTACATTCCCCATTTTCCTGGACAGTGGATCGCAAATATTTGAAGTCCTGTATTGTGACCTCTGCTCTTTGTAGCTTCACTGTTCACCAGCCTCCCTCTCATTCACACACACACGTACTGTCTTACTACGACTGACTTTCATTCCTCTTCTTTCAAGTGCATACCTTCACCTCTCAAAAGTTCTCTCCCACCTGTTCCCTGTTCTCACCACAGATCACGTCATCTGCAAACATCTTAGTCCACAGGGATTCCTGCCTGACCTCATCTTTTAGTCTGTCCATCACCAGAGCAAACGAGAAGGGACTCAGAGCTGATTCTTGATGCACTCCCACCTCCACCTTGAAGATGTACTCCTGCAGCACATCTCAGCCACTGTCCTGCTGTCCTCATACATGTCCTGTACCAGTCTAATATACTTCTCTGCCGCTCCAGATTTCCTCACGCAGTACCACACCACCTCCCTCAGCACCCTGTCAAATGCTTTTTCTAAATCCACAAAGGCACAATGGAGTTCTTTCTGACCCTCTTTGTACTTCACCAAAATCCTCAGCGCAAATATGGAGCCTGTGGTGATATTTCTTGGCATAGAACAATGTTGCTGCTCACAAATAGTCACTTCTCGTCTGTCTTGCTTCCACAATTTTCTCCCAGATTTTCATTGTGACTCAACTTAATTCCCCTGTAGTTGCTACAACTCTGTAAATCATCCTTGTTCTTAAAAATGGGCACCAGCACACTTCATACCTCAGGCTTTTTCTCACTCAAATATGCCATTGAATATTTGAGCCAAAAACCTCACTGCCATCTCTCAAAGACCTTTCCAAACCTCCACTGATGTGTCATCAGGTCCTACTGCCTTCATTCTTTTCCGAGCTTTCCAGACTTGACGCTTATTAATTTTTCCCACTTCCTGGTCTAGTTTCCATGACCTCTACTCCTTTCTTTCATTCTCCATTCATTGGCTCCTCAAAGTAGAATAGAAACGACCTTTATTGTCCCACGGATGGGAAATTCAAGTGCAACAGCAACAACAGATAACGATTTCACACAAAGTTCCTGAATGTTAAACAATACAGAAAGAAATAAGAAACTATCAATAATAATGTTCAATATGTGTTGGAACATTGAGGACAGACTATTTACAGTACAGTAGTATAGGCAGTGTGTGCGTGTTTTAGCAGAAGTCGGCATGTATTTAATCCTTATTGAGTTTGTTGGGAGCAGTGATGGTTGTAGTCTCTAACAGCTGCTGGGAGGAAGGACCTTCGGTAATGCTCTGTGTATTTAGGATGAAGTAATCAGTCACTGAACGAGCTGTCCAGTTCAGCAACAGCTTCATGCATGGGGTGGGAGACATTGTCCAACAATATTTTAGCTAGTCCTTCTGTCTCCCACCACCTGCACTGGGTCGAGGGGGCATCCAAGCACAGAGCTGTCCTTCTTTATGAGCTTATCGAGCTTCTTCTCAGCTGATAGTACTCCTATCTTCCCATCACACTCTCCTCACTTGTTAGAACATTCCTATCTTTAACAATCCTAACTTGTTGCACATCCTTACCAGCCTGATGTCTCTGTCTCACCAGTTGGTACAAGTCCTTGCCCTCTTTAGTGTCCAGCCTCCCATACAACTCATCATACGCCTTCTGCTTTTCATCAGCTACCTCTCTTTGCTCTACATTGAATCTCCTTATATTGCCTGTCATTGTCCCCACATTTAGAGTTGCTACCCTCAGTCTTACATTCTTGACTTTCCCCGTCTCCTGACACGTTTCCTCCTCGTGGTCTTTGACTAATAGTAGCACAATTTCTCCCGGCACCCTGTTTGTCAACAGCACCAATGGCAATTGTTGTTAACCCAGGCCTCAACCGATCTGGTATGGTTTCGCTTTGAACTCGTAGTTTTGGCAAAAGTTTTTTTTGTTGGATGGCCTTCCTGGCGCAACCCTTACCTTTTACCCAGGCTTAGAACCGGTAGAAGAAATGCACTGGTTTGTGCTCCCTAGTGGCTGGTTTACAAACGAAACATGATCTTGCCAAATGAATTTGACCCAAATGTCCCAAACCGATTAAACCTGTTTCTTTCTTTTTTTTGCAGGGAACCGCAGACCCAGGACCAGGAGCAGAGGCCAACTTCTTGGAAAAACATCCAAGGCAACAACTTTGGAGTTTGATTCAGATTTTGATTTTGAAACTGCAAATGCTCGGTTTAAAGATGACCTGATAAAGGAGACTGAATGTATGCATTTTACTAGTCGCATAGAGAGATCGTTTACCGGAGACTAAAATATAATTAAAATTGCAGCAGGTGAGAAGGTGAACTCTGGGGATGCCCAGGCCAACCATGGTGTACGAGAGGAGCCCGTTCACATAGAGAAATACTACGACAAAGCTAAGTGCTTCTATGACAACATATCTTCAGATCTTAAGCCCAGGTAATTTGAGTTGACTGTTGGTTATATTTGTCATCTTTTTGGAGTTATGTGCTATATTTAATACTTTTAGGAGAACCACCTGGGCAGAGGAGAAAAAGTTGAACATTGAAACATTTGGAGTGCCTGGTCGCTTCCTGAGAGGAAGAGGATTGAGAAGTCGTGGACGAAGAACCACTGAGCAGAGACCACTTCCAAAGATTGGTAGTGGGAGAGTGTGAAGCATTTTTGTTGTCAATGCTACTGTAAATATTTTTTTTATTTTATTTGAATTATCTCCCTCATTCAAAGCTTTTAGTTTTTGAAGTCCCAAATGTGAATTTAAGGGTTTAACTTTGAATTGTTGACATGAAATGGGAGGGTATATTTCTTTTAAATCCAGCAGCTGTGCACTTACAGCAATGTCTTCATTAATGGTTGGTCTGGACGTCTGTAGTACAAGTCTATACAACAGTAGTGCTTTTGTTTTCCTGAATATATTGACATGTCTACTTGACTATCTGACTTAACTCAGAAATGGTTAGATCAAATTCAAAGTTCAGTGAGCATGGTTTTATTTTCTCAAATTGTAAAACTTAAAATGGAACAATGTGTACAGTTGCTATTAAATGGCATGTTGCCTTCAGAGCCGACTCATGTGTTCTTGTGGCGGTTTGCAAATGGAAGCCAGTTGTTAAAACTTGGGCCTAAGTTTTCAAGCAAAATCTGAATTAACTTGATTCTCTTCGAGAATAGTAGTTTGTATCCTGATGCATGCTCAATAATCCAGGTAGAAAAATCCAAAAAAGTTCAATCTGGTCCTCTAGACATGCAAAAAAACAAAAAATAAAACGAAGCAAAAAATATAGAAATGTTTCGTCTCTCATCCGAGAGACTTCCTCAGTCTGAGGTGCTGTTTTCAGCTCAGTCTCTTAAATAGCACCTTCTCAGAGTGGATCAACCAGTTTTGCTGCTGACAACCAAAACCAGCTGATCACATGCTCAAGAAGGACCATCAGCCTAACAAAGGATCATTAGCACACTGATGGCTGTTTACTATTCACAGAGGGCTGAGTGATACTAGCAATCACAGCATTGTAAGAGGGGGACAGTTGAACCCGGAGGCCTCCACCCCTGTTTAATGATGGACGATTTCTTTTCACAAAGATGGCCTCCTTTACGCCTCTCTCAAACCATCGTTCCTCTCTGTCCAGGATGTGAACATCTTCATCCCTGAAAGAGTGACCGCTGGCCTAGAGATGAGTGTAGACTGCAGAATCCTGGCCTGATGTTAATCTTCTGTGCTGGGCCATCCTTTTGGCCAGTGGCTGTTTAATTTCCCCGATGTAAGACTGATCACCCTCCTGACACTGAACAGCATACACAACATTACTCTGTTTGTGCCGGGGGACTGGATCTTTGGGATGAACCAGTCTTTGCCATAATGTATTTTGGGGTTTAAAAGCCACTGGGACGTTGTGTTTAGAAAATAAACGTCTGTTTCTCTGATACTCCCTCAACATACAGAATGACCACTGGTCTGGGTTCCTCCTTTTCACCTGATGGCTGACTGGAGTCCTGTTTAGGTTTCTTCTCTGCTTTCAGGAAGGCCCAGTTAGGATATCCACATTGCTCTAGAGCCTGTCTTGTGTAGGATTTCTCCTTCTGCCTGGCTCCCGAGCTAGTGGGGACGCTGTCTGCTCTGTGATACAGAGTCCTGATGACTCCTAACTTGTGCTCCAAAGGGTGATGGGAGTCAAACTGCAGATACTGGTGTGTGTGGGTGGGTTTGCGGTACACCTCAGTTTGCAAATGTCCTCTATCAGAGACTGAGACCTCACAGTCCAAGAAAGCCAACTTGCCATTTTTTTCATCTTCTCGTGTGAACTTGATGTATTTATCCACAGAGTTGATGTGGTCAGTAAAATGTTGGACTTCCTGAGATTTGATTTTAACCCAGGTGTCGTCAACATACCTGAACCAATGACTTGGTGGTGTCCCTGAAAAGGACGTCAAGGCTCTCTTTTCTACCTCCTCCATGTACAGGTTGGCAACAATAGGAGAAACTGGAGACCCCATAGCACACCCATGTTTCTGCCTATAATATTGCTCCCCATATGTGAAGTAGGTTGACTGCAGGCACAGTTTCAAGAGTTGACACAGTTGTTCTGTAGAAAGCGTGGTCCTGCTGCTCAGAGTGGTGTCTGATTTTAATCTTAAACTGACCACCTCTACTGCATCATCAACAGGAATGCACGTAAAAAGAGTGATGTGACATCAAAAGAGACCATTGTTTCATCAGTCTCCATGATGACATCCCTCACCTTATCCACAAAGTCCATGGTGTTCTGTATGTGGTGTTCTGAGCTGCCAACTAAAGGGATGAGTACAGATGCCAGATATTTGGAAACATTGTAAGTGACAGTTAATCATGCTAACAATAGGTCTTAAAGGTACACTTTGTTTATGGATTTTAGGTAAACCATACAGACTAGGTGTGGCCTCCCCTGGGTACAGTCTGTGGTACAGAATACGGTCAATAGCCTTGTCCTGCTCCAAATTTTTCAGACAATCTATTAACTACTTCTTGCAACCACTTCCTGGATCTCTTTTCAGAGGTTCATAAGTGGTTAAGTCACTAAGGAGTGTCATAACTTTCTCATGATAGTCTTTCTGGTTCAAAATCACTGTGCACCTTCCTTTGTCTGCTGGGAGAATGATGATGTTTTTGTCCTTGCTAAGAGTGGTGAGTGCATCCCTCTCCTCTCTACTGATGTTGGAAGGTGGTGGTTTGGCATTGCTGAGGCAGGCTGAAACTTTGATTCTGAGCTGTTCTGCTTCACCCTCTTTCATTTTGTTGCGGATGGCTGATTCTGTGGCTGTGATCATCTCCACCAGAGGAATTCTACTTGGTGCAATCGCAAAGTTCAAAGGATTCTGCGGTCTACACTCATCTCCAGGCCAGCGGACACTCTTTCAAGGATGAAGATGTGCACATCCTGGACAGAGAGGAACGATGGTTTGAGAGAGGAGTAAAGGAGGCCATCTTTGTGAAAAGAAATCGTCCATCATTAAACAGGGGTGGAGGCCTCTGGTTTCAACTGTCCCCCTCTTACAATGCTGTGATTGCTAGTATCACTCAGCCCTCTGTGAACAGTAAACAGCCATCAGTGTGCTAATGATCCATTGTTAGGCTGATGGTCCTTCTTGAGCATGTGATCAGCTGGTTTTGGTTGTCAGCAGCAAACTGGTTGATCCACTCTGACAAGGTGCTATTTAAGAGACTGAGCTGAAAACAGCACTTCAGACTGAGGAAGTCTCTTGGATGAGAGACGAAACGTTTCTATATTTTTTTGCTTGTTTTATTTTTTGTTTTTTTGCATGTCCAGAGGACCAGATTGAACTTTTTTGGAATAGTAGATTGTATTGATAGGCGTCACTCTCTTGTACATGCGGATGGGACTCATCGGGCACTACCTCTTATGTAATGGAGTCTCTGTAGGAAAATGTCAAAAGCAAGATATTCTTATACGTGCAATGCTCATTAGTGGTGACTGTTAAGTGAAACTCCAACCCATCGAGAGCTGCTGGGTTAACAGTGTTCCTGCGGTTGGAAAAAAAATAATTTCCATGTTTTCAAACAGAAAATTGTTACAAGTTTCAGCTCTACCCTGTGCTCTTGGTAGTTTCTGGATATTTGAAAAGCTCTAAATACAAAGATGAAATAAAATTAAATGTTAAGAGATGCACTGTTTGCATATGTATTACCCTGCTACCACAAGCACCACTGAAAGGGTGAAAGGCTTCCTGCTCTGCCTGGCTTGATTTTCTGTTGGAAATGTTAAATTTGTCAACTTTCAATCCATCATGCTTCTTCACATTAGGTGAGTGTGAATCGGTTTACGTAGTTCACAATGTCATATGTTTCACTTGATTCTTGTACAAAGATTACTGTGAATGATTTTGTTTCTCTTGTACCCATCGTTCCCTCATGTTCGTCCCGTCTTTTGAATCGGTCATGTGTAAAGTTCAATCTCAGAACAACATTGAGACACTATTAAGAATCATTTTACAAGAACAGGAAATGGTCATTGGAATTGCGCTGGAATAAGTCTCATGCGAATGTTTTGGATGCAAACTTGCAATCTTTTCCTGGTCTGTGTTGTAAACCTGGAGCCTTTCTTCTCACTGAGAAGGTACACTACACTTTCCTTCACTGATGCAGAAATGCTCATCCATGCCTTGGTCTCCTCCAGACTGGACTACTGCAAAGCACTTTTTATCGGGATTCCTGGCAAGAACATACGAAAACTGCAGTATGTCCAGAACAGCGCTGCCAGGGTCCTGATGAGAGTGCATGAGCACATCACCCCTGTACTCCGTTCACTTCACTGACTTCCTGTCTCTGCCCGGATAACTTACAAAATGTATCTGCTCACCTTCCAATGCTTGTAGATCTGTTGTGAATATATAGTGTTATAAATTAAAGTTCTAAATTAAAGTTATTATGAGGCAGCAGTTCTACCCACTACTCTACTGTGACACCTAACAACAATCATAAATATATGTTAAGTTTTATAATTACATTTTTTTTAATAAGGTTTTTCTTGCATAACTGCAGAATGAGGAAAAACATATGTGTTCGATGCCTGCAGATCAATGCGTGACAGCAAATTAATTTCATCAAGGTGAGTCTTGCCCCTGATTTTCCACGCCAACGTGCACGGATATATAATTATAAGCCACAGAAAAAAATTGTCCAAGTCTTTGCAACCTGACTTGATTACTGTAAGGCTTTATGGTCAGTCAGGTGTCTCACGTCTCCAGCTCATCCAAATGCTGCAGCTCAGCTATTAACAGGAACTCAATAGGTTTGAGCACATTTCACAGGTTCTGTCCTCCCTTCACTGGCTCCCTGTGCGCGTCAGAATTGATTTTAAAATTCTCCTGTTGATCTTTAAGTGCCTAAATGGCCTTGCACCCTCATACCTCTCTGATCTACTTGGAACCATGTGCTTCTTGTGCGCTGAGATCATCTGATCATGTGGTTGCACCAAAAACCAGGCTGAAGCTCAGAGATCGGGCTTCTCAGTCATTGGCCCTAAACTCTGGAACAATCTGTCCCCCCCAACATTAGACTATTTTACTTCCTGTTTTTAAATCTCTTTTGAAAACCTCTGGATGCATAGCTGTATTTCCTGGATGTACATCCAATAATTATTTCCTAAGATTTTATCCAGTGGTTTATGAGATATTTTTCTAACAGATCAAGTTGACTACAAAGGTTATTGCGTGGGTTTATTAAGCAAACACGCAACCCAACGTGTTGCATCCAGAGTTTGTTTGTTTGTGGTGAGGTAAATGTGTTGCTATGACAACACCAAACTTTAGTTCAATATCTGTAAAACTGGCAAAGTTGTAGACATTTTTGTGTTTGCTTCAGTCAGTTGGCTGTGTCGGCCATCTTAAATTGGGTGGAGTCCAGACATTAATCAGTTGTACAGTAGATGTCAGCCCAATTACGTTCTAAAAGTTTCTTAAAAATCTGTTAAGTGGTTTAAGAAATATTTTGCTAACAGACACCTCTCAGTTTCTGCTCTCAGAATATGGGTTGGGCATCAGTCTCAGTTACTACCTCACCAAACATAAGTCAGATATCTGTAAAACTGACTGTCACACCACATTTTTCAGCTAACGGTCTCAGTGTTTGAGGCTTTAAGGAATGCTTTCATGAGGACGCTTCTTGTCTTGAAACACATTTGACCCGAAGCTAAGAGTTTGTTTGAAGCACATGTTCAGGCTTTAAAAAAACATTCAAATAACCAGAAAGGTCAAGTTTTTTTCTTTATTGTTAAAAACAAGACACAAAGGGTGAAGTTAAGTGTACGAACCTCCTTGGAGTCACAAAGTGTTGCTTTTCAAAATTTAGTTCTCCATTTTTACAAATGCATTTTTTAAATAAACAACTACACTTTTTTGTATTTTATTTATTGCTTTAATCTACTATAGGTCCTGTTAATAAAGTAGAAAAAAATATCCTTCTGACTGTCTTCTGGGGGGAATGGACATATTTACATCTTAAGGCCCACATGACTTTAACTTTACAACCTTCAGGGAACTTCACAGCTTTCAGCTACAGAAGCTAGCCGTAGTCCCCCCCCCCCCCCCCCCCCGTCCCCCGTCCCCCGTCCCTGTCCCTGTCCCTGTCTGAGGTGTCCATCCCTAACAGCTTCATTCTGCAGTTATTTTCCTGTAAACATGGATGCAGGTTCTGATTTCTCCTCTCTCCTCCGCTCGTCTCTGCTGTCCTCGTCGTCTGAGCCCACCACGGGGGTCTCTGCCCTGGTCTGGCTGTCAGAGGACGAATCTGAGGACGTGGAAGACATCCGGGTCTTGCGGTCGAGGCCTTCGAGGACGTGCTGGAAGAGCCCGTTACTGACCGCCTCCTTGTTTTTCCCTTGGATTCGATAAAAACAAACTTTAGAGGTGGAGGTTTGCTGGTTTTGAGCTCTGCGCTGATTTTGGTTGTCCTACCTGTCAGAGGAGAGGTCAGCGACTCCTCGTCTTCCACAGAGCTGAAGAAGACGTCCAAATTGTCTTGATCAGGGATGTCAATCGGCTCCATCTGGTCCACGTTCACCTCCATGGAGGAGATGCTGCTTATAGGAGCTGCAAACAGACCAAATCGTGTGGCGTTTGTGCATTTTTACATCACTATGCAAAATCGTGCAACTCACGTCTCTTGTAGTCTCTGATACACAGCAGGTGCGCTGAGGACAGGTAGACGTCCACTTCATGCTGGATCACCTCCTCGAAGAAGCGCTGCCTCTCTCTGAGCTTCAGCTGCTGTGCTGCTTCCACATCTGGATGTCTTTGAGCATGCTCTGTCTCTGCTGGACAGCACAAGAGAACAGAAGGACGGTGGGTCAGAGGGCGTCTCAGTACAAGAGTCAAATGTTGGAGACCAGAAGGAGGAGACATTGAGATGCAGAAAAGACTGGGTTCCTCTTTTTTGTTGACATGAAAATAAGTAATTATCACTTACTGTTTAAAAGAGAAATGCAATGTTTTTGTTTATGTGTGTGTGTTGTCTGTTACCAAAATATCTTGTGAACCGCTAAAGTAAATTAAATTAAATTTTCAGGAACAAAACACTAAACATACTTCTATAATTACTTAACTTTTGGAGCTAATCTAATAAAAGATGGTGGTTGCAGTCAAAACAACTTAGAAAGCACAAAAATGGCTATTATTCAGTCAGTCAAACTAAGATCGTGCTCAGATCCAATGAAATTGTAGCTGAGAGTCGTTCACACCCAAACTATTATTTGTGCAAGACTTTTGCTTTAAACTTCAGCATTAACTGTTTGAGTCAACAAGGTTCTTTATTGTCATTCATCACATGTGGTACATGAGGTGGAATGAAAATGTGTACTCAGGGTCCCAGTTACAACCAAAAATAGCAAAAATATAAAGTATAAAAAAAGGTATACAAGGATCTAAGCTATACGCTAAACAATAATAATGTAATATAGTGTATTAAACAGCAGCCTGAACATGAGTCTGTGTGAGCAGATGGGTAAGAAATCAGCAGCACGGATAAAGTGACATATCACCAATTAAAGTGGTATTACAGTTATTATCCTGATTAGAGATTCATGAATCTAACAGTCTCAGGGTAGAAGCTGTTCCTCAGTCTAGTGGTTCTACACTTAATGCTCCTCAACCTCCTTCCTGAGGGGAGCGGGGCAAAAAGTGTGTGCTGGGTGAGTGGGGTCCTTCATGATGCAGGTGGCCCTCTTCCTGCATCTGGAGGTTTAGATGTCTGTGATGGTGGGGAGGCTGACTCCAACAGACTTCTGTGCAGCCTTCACCACTCTCTGCAGAGCTTTTCTTTCTGCAGCTGTGCAGCCTCCATGCCACACGTTGATGCTGGAGCACAGGATGCTCTCCACTGCACACCTGTAGAAGGAGGTGAGGACTGAGCTTCCCAGACCAGCCCGCCTCAGCTGCCAGGACTGGGAAGCTCAGTCCGCACCCCCTTCTACAGATGTTTGTCTGTTAGCTAAGTCGCCACCAACAAAAAAAAAGGTCACACACTTATATTTTGTTGGACCGCCTTTAACTTTGATTACAGCATGCATTCACTGTGGCATTGTTTCGATAAGCTTCTGCAATGTCACAAGATCTATTTCCATCCAGTGTATCATTAATTTCTCACCAAGATCTTGCATTGATGACTAGGCACTAGGCATGATGGGTGCATCACTTCACCTGTCTCTCTTCTTACCCTGACGCATCCATCACTCTGGAACAGGGTAAATCTGGACTCATCAGACCACATGACCTTCTTCCATTGCTCCAGAGTCCAATCTTTATGCTCCCTAGCAAAGTGAACCCTTTTTTTCCAGTTAGTCTCACTGATTGGTGGTTTTCTTAAGGCTACACTGCTGCTCAGTCCCAATCCCTTGAGATCCTTCACATTGTGTTTGTGGAAATGCTCTTACTTTCACTATTAAACATAGCCCTGAGTGCTCCTGTTGTTTTTCTTCCATTTGATTTCATCAAACGTTTAAATGATCGCCGATCACAATCATTCAGGATTTTTTTCCGGCCACATTTCTTCCTCAAAGACAATGGGTCCCCACTATCCTTCCAGTTTTTAATAATGTGTTGGACAGTTCTTAACCCAATTCTAGTAGTTTCTGCAATCTCCTTAGATGTTTTCTCTGCTTGATGCCACTGATTTGACCCTTCTCAAACAGACAGACATCTTTTCCACGACCACGCCATGTGTCTTTCCACATGGTTGTTGAAGAAATGAGAAGCAACTCATTGCACCAGTTGGGGTTAAATAATACAATAATTATCCAATAGGAGGCTCGTACATATTTGCTTAGTTAAATTCAGTTGGCAACTTGTTTTTTTGGGCAAGGCAGTGTATTGCACAAACCACTGGATAAAGTTTATTGAAACTTTTAGAATATAATGATTAGGTGATTTTTTTTTCTTTAAAATCCAATTAACATTTGGAGTCAATCCCATTTAAGATTGCTAGCACAGCTAAGAGTGGAAAACCAAAAGATTGACTAATTTAGAGCTGAAATTTGATGTGGTAGTAGCTATAAGAGTTACTTACATTTACTTTGAGTGTGTCACCCCTCACGATTGCAAAGTGTTGAGAACTGAACCTTTTGACGGTCTGTGGATTTAAGGTCAGCACATTCACTGATGTCTCTGATGAGACACACACTCCACTGAGGACATCACCTCACATTAAAGACAGCTGTATTCTGCTGGCTCATGTAGTTCCTGTGCTGTTCTTTAGATTATTATTCTGGGGGTGCTGCGAGTCCTCTCGTTCAGTTAATCCAGTTTGACAACCCATGTGATGCCATTTCCCCCTCATCAGCATCACAGAGATACAGCTGAGTGTGACAGCAGCGTGAGCGAGTGGAGTATCCAACAAAACAACTGGGCTCAAACGGAAGGATACTTCACTGCAGCTGCACGTTTTCAGTAAATATAAAGTGAAAATTAACTGAAACTACAAATGCAAAAGTTAAAAACAAACGTTCAGCACTTGAAAACTTTATGCAAGCACATAAGATTGGGAAGAGACAATAAATGCCAATCGCACGTTCATATTGAAAGTCTGGTCTTCTCAGGTACTACTACAACAGATTTAGCTCTCTAGCTTTAAATTTGACTTACCGAGTACTTATAGCTGTTTTGGTGTTTTCTAATGTCAGCTGGCTTTGGCAGCTACCTTGAATCATGTTGACTCTAAAAGTTAAACAATTGGAGATGTGCAACCAAAGATTACTTTCTGCACGTTTCATCATCATCTGTCTGGGAATTCATAAAATATTTTGCCAACAGACAGACAAAATTGACTCCAAATAGTTAATGGCAGCACTTGAAGCTAAGATCTTGCACAACCTGTTTGCTCTCAAAATGTTGCTGCTTTTCTATCAGCTGTTCCCTTCTGCAGAGGTCACCAACAGGAAATCTTCAGTGGTTGTTTTACTCTGGATGCTCTTCCTGACGCAACCTGGGCTCAAACCTGCAGCCTTAGGTTTACGAGACAGCAACACTAACCACTGAGCGACTGCAGCTCCTCTGTTAGTTCTGAAAATTACTCTCAGGTACAATCACACCAGATTTTAGCTCAATATCTGCCAAATAAACTGAATTACAGTCAATTTGTGTTTTAATGTCAGCAGTCTGGGGCAGCCATGCTGCAGTCACAGTGTCCAGGTTTTACTTTCTGTAAGTTTTTACTAAAATATGTTCAATGGTTCGGGACATATTTAGTACTGAACAGACACACACACACAGTGGTTCCCAAAGCTTGTCCTTGAGGGACACCATCCAAGATGTTTTAGTCATTTCCCTGCTCCAACACACCTGATTCAGTGATTTAATTACTTCATCAAGTTCTACAGAAGCCTGTTAATCACTTGTTCATTCAAATCAGGTGTGTCAAAGCAGAAAAACAACTAAAATGTGCAGGATGGAGTTCTTCAAGGACCATGGTTGGGAACCATTGCACTAACACACACTTGTTGTGGAAAAAACATTATCGTCCACATTTTGGCAGCAGGCGATGGCTTATAGTATCATAAAGCTCAGGCCTTTATTTCAGACTATCCACAGACAGACCATAATATGCAGTTTGATAACAGAGCTGTGTTAGAGTTTGTTGTTACAAGCTGTAAACAGGGATTGAGCTAATTGGATGAGGCCCTTGAGTCCAGTCTACGTCCAGTGAAGATTATCTGGACGGAGTTAGAAGCAGAAATCCCCGAGCTTCTAAAAACACAACAGAGACGGAAACATTCAGCTCAGGGTCAGTGTGAACAGGAAGGAAGGAGCATCTTCATTCCACTTGTTTGTGACCTTAAAGATATAGATATATATATATATATATATATATATATATATATATATATATATATATATAT